TAGATATGTGAGTTGCTGTTATTCCATTTAATGTCGATGTTGATGCTGATATCTATTATTTCATGCTTTTAGGGTAAACTTTTTGATATTGAAATCGACTTCAAGGGTGATCCTATGGGCGTTCACATAACTCACTGTAAGTAATAATAATTAGACTTGTTCCCTTAACCATATTTGTATATATTTGTTATATTATTGATTCTATGTCTAACTCAAAAAAGATATGCTGGAAAAGGTTTGAATTGCTTGACATATAAATAATTATTTTTTCGATAGACTTTATTAATATTTAATTTACTTTCTTTACACAGACACGCATCACGGATACTATCGTTGGCGAGCGCAATTTTCACATTTTCTATCAATTGCTATTAGGTGCTGATCTTCAACTGCTGAGTACGTTTATTTGTAGGGAAACGTCTTGATTTGTGATTTAATTAACAATTATTTATCCTACAGAATCTCTAAAGCTCTTTCGTAATGTGGAGAAATATGAGTTGCTCCGAAATACGAGTGCCATGGAAGAGGATCGTGCCAATTTTCATTACACTAAGGTTAGTGAAAAGTCTAATATCTATAAGAGAATGCTGATAACAAGGAATTTGTATCTTACAGCGCTCTCTGGATGTTCTCGGCTTGAGCTGTGATGAGATTAACTCAATTTTTCGAGTTATTGCGGTTGTCTTAAAGTTGGGCAACTTTATTTTTGTGCCAGTAACGAATATAGATGGCACCGAAGGCTGTCAGGTTTCAAATGTCTACGGTACGTTTCATCATCACGATGATATAAACAAATATGTGATGTTTCATAATACTGTTGGGATTTGCAGAGGTTCAAGAGACGGCGCAGCTGCTCAATTTGGAAGCTCAAATATTAATCAATTGTCTGACGAGAGCGAACAGCACGAGCAGTACACAGGAGGATGTGGGTTGTGAAATGGACGCCAGACAGGCAGCCAGCAATCGCAATACACTTTGTCGTACGCTCTACAGTCGTCTATTTACTTGGCTGGTGAATAAAATTAATGAAACGTTGAAGTCTACGCAGCGAGAAAAGAATCTCGCTTTGTTAGATTTTTATGGTTTCGAAGTTTTGGATCATAACTCTTTTGAGCAATTTGCTATTAACTACAGTGCCGAGAAAATACATCAGGCAAGATATATAGTCACAGCATTGAGATAATCTGATTAACTTATTTTTTTCCATTTTTGAATAGAACTTTGTTTTTAATGTGCTACGCTTCGAACAGGAACTGTATATACGTGAGGGTTTGGAATGGTCACGCATCGATTATTTTGACAACGAGTCCATATGTGAGCTAATTGATAAGCCCAGCTATGGCATCCTTAGTTTAATCAACGAATCACATCTAAATAACAACGAGGCGCTGCTGCTGCGTATACAGCAATGTTGCGCAGGGCATCCCAATTTTATGACAAGTGGCAGCAATTCCATGTGCTTTCAGTGAGTCTGTTTATGAAATAATAGAGCTTAATTGAAATATATTTATCTGGTCTATTTACAGAATTCGCCACTTTGCTAACGTTGTTAACTATTCCATTCATCGTTTTTTGGAGAAAAATTCAGATATGCTGCCAAAGTATATAAGCGCTGGCTTTTACCAGAGCCAACTACCGTTAGTGCAAAGTCTATTCCCGGAGGGCAATCCCCGTCGACAGACTAGCAAAAAGCCAACCACGCTTAGCACCAATATACGCACGCAGCTCCAAACGTTGTTGGCCATCGTGAAGCATCGTCGTGCCCATTATGTGTTCTGCATTAAGCCCAACGAGTGCAAGCAGTCCCATCACTTTGATTTGGCCTTAGTGCAGCATCAAGTGCGCTACATGTCGCTTATGCCGCTCGTGCATTTGTGCCGCACTGGACACTGTTTCCATTTGCCGCATGTCAAATTCTTTCAACGCTATAAGCTGCTCAATAGTTTGACTTGGCCGCACTATCACGGTGGCAGCCAAGTAGAGGGCATTGCTCTGATCATAAGAAATTTGCCGTTGCCCTCGGCCGAGTTTACGCTCGGCACCAAAAATGTGTTCGTGCGCAGTCCGCGCACTGTCTACGAGCTGGAACAGTTTCGTCGACTCCGGATCTCCGAGCTGGCCGTGCTCATACAGAAGATGTTTCGTATGTATCATGCCAGAAAGAATTATAGGCGCATGCGACACAGCCAAGTGGTCATCTCGAGTGCCTGGCGCACGTGGCGTGTAAGTACTGGCTGCACTGCTTCATTTGCATGCCTAACTATTATTTGTGTACATATTTATATAAAGTTTGTTGTTATTTTTATATTTACATAGGAGTGCCGTTTTGGCATTCCCTTCACGGGCCGTAGGCATTTGTGGAGTTTATATCGCGTTGTAAGCATTGCATGTTCTTATTCCCACTCTCATACCCTATAACCTAGTAAAATACTTATGGTAAATGAATACTAATAGCCACTTTAATTGATTATGGCAGGCCCGTGAGGAGTATCGTACTTTGAAGTACAAGCGCCAAGTAAAGTGGGCCGTCGATGTGATTGCGCGAAACTATCACCAGTGGAAGATTCGACAATATTTGCTCACCATTCCGCTGCGCCTGCCACCCAACACATTGAGTCCACTCTCGTCAGAGTGGCCAACGGCTCCTGGCTTCCTGTCAGATGCTTCCCGTCTGCTGCGAGCCATCTATCATCGCTGGAAATGCTATATATATCGCAATTCGTTCGATCAGACGGCACGCAATCGCATGAGAGAAAAGGTTACAGCCAGCATTATTTTTAAGGATCGCAAGGCTTCCTATGCGCGTAGGTCTGTTTAATGGTGCTCCCTAAATGTTGAACTTCTTTACTCATGAAAATATATATATGGCTTTCAGTGTGGGTCATCCTTTTGTGGGCGACTATGTGCGACTGCGGCACAATCAACAATGGAAAAAGATATGTGCTGAAACCAATGATCAGTATGTGGTGTTTGCCGATATCATAAACAAGATAGCGCGCTCCAGTGGCAAGGTATGTTCCTGAATTCTAACTCAATGAATATGAGTAAGTACGATATCTGAAACGCCTCAGTAGATTAGAGGCTTTCTTGATTATTTATTTATACAGATATAAATAACTCCATATCCGTTTTCAGTTTGTACCGATATTGCTGGTGCTGTCCACGTCATCGCTGCTCTTGCTCGACCAGCGAACTCTGCAAATCAAGTACAGAGTCCCTGCCTCGGAGATTTATCGTATGTCTCTAAGCCCTTATCTGGATGATATTGCTGTGTTTCACGTGAAAGCGGTAGATTTAAATGAGATTTGTTTTTAATTTGCCTAATTAAATTACTTTATTGTACAGTCTGAGTTTGGCCGGAAGAAAGGCGATTTTGTGTTCCAAACAGGCCATGTTATTGAAATAGTTACCAAAATGTTTCTGGTCATACAAAATGCGACGGGCAAGCCCCCAGAGATACACATAAGCACAGAGTAAGCACTTAACGTATTTTCTATACCATTAATTTCATTTATTTTATTTGGTTTTAGATTTGAAGCGAATTTCGGTCAACAAACGGTTATCTTCTCATTCAAATACGGCGGCTTATCCGATTTGGCACAAGGGCCGCCAAAAGTCACGCGCAAGGCAAATCGTATGGAAATCATTGTATGATGATGAAGACTTTGGCATGATCAGAGGTTCCGGTCAGTTAGGAACTCAAGTTTTAAACAAATATTTTTTTCCAAACAATACTTTTTGAAGTCTCTTGACTTGGTCCCAGGGACCAAAAATCAATTTTAGCAATATTTACATACACTCAAATCCACACACTGCATACATACATACCCACACACACACACACTGACTCAAATATAATATAATTTTGCTCACAACTGACAATCAGTCTCATGAATTCGATGTCAAAATTGTGCCAAAATGAGGGGAAAAAAAAAAGAACAAGAGAAGCAGTTTTAGCTAATTTTAAACAGCACCATTTCTTTGATATATTTAAGTACTAACTAACGAAATGAACAACTGAATTTATTTAACTAATTTCTCAAACTAGGTTTAATTGTAAGTCAAGCACCAAGTCGATTAACATTGCAACAAACAACTACGTTAGGAACGTGGCACAGAGAAGCGTTAGACATTTTACACAAAATACGATACTTACAATATTTCCGTTATAGAAACCAAGGCATTTCTCTTACATTTAAGGTTTCATACACAATAATTAGTGAACTAATGCTAGAGAACTCAGAGAAGCATATATAGCTCTATATACCAAACACAATATAAATCTGCGCCTCAAAAACTAGTGAAAGAGATGGGAGAATAATAATATTAAAAAACAAAAAAAAAGAAAAAAACCGAAAACTTTCCCAGATTGTTAATTAGGAAAACTATTTACAAGTCAGAACATGTAGTTAAATATTTAAAAAATATATATACATACATATACATATATAATGGATAATACATTTACACAAATCGAGCCATTGGAGAGAGGGAATCCGAAACAATATGAAACCAATTGAAAAAAAAAAAAAAAAAAAAAATTATACGAATGTTTGTTATAAGAGTTGATCGTACTTACATATATAATGATATAGTATATATGTATGTAGTTGTTTATATAAGTAACTTGTTATTGATAGCTCAGACAGACTTCAAATGTAATTAACGTGTGGCTATATAGTTGAATTTCATAAATTGCATGATCACATTACAGCAAACCGATAAATGTGTGTATATTACCGACTAATTAGTAGGTAGTAACACGATTCCGAATATGTGTGTATGTATGGAAATAGTTTTTATTTAGATTTAAATCGAATACAAAACTTTAAAAAAGCCAAATACAGACAAGTATAAATATAAATATATACATACATATATATATTTAAAACCACAATCCAAGAACTGTGTATTTTTAGAGCGATACAGTTAAAGTTTGGAATTATAATAGCAAATCGTACATATAGAGAACCCTTTCACTGTATAAAATTATTTTCCTAGCCTCACATACGATTAGTTTGCTGAGAGTGATTCTATGCATCGTGAGGCTTACAATTTGGATTTTTGTTTCTTAAGCATATCGCGTAGGATGCGACGCAATATTTTGCCACTGGGATTTTTGGGTATCTCGTCCACAAAAACTACGCCGCCCCGCAGACGTTTTGCAGGCGAGGCACGTTCGTTCACAAAATTGATCACATCTTCCTCGGTGAGTTGGGTATTCGCCTGTTTGACCACAAATGCCATTGGGAGTTCGCCAGCCTCTTCATCCGGTTTGCCAATGACAGCAGCATCCTTGATTTTCTCATTGGTTAGTAGCAGCGCTTCTATTTCTGCCGGCGGCACCTGGAAGCCCTTATATTTGATAAGCTCCTTAATGCGATCCACAATAAAGAACTCGAGTGAATCGTCAAAATAGCCAATATCACCAGTGTGTAACCAGCCGTCCCGAATGGCGCTCTGTGTGGACTTGCTGTCACCAATGTAGCCCTTCATAATGCCATCACCCTTGAAACAAAGCTCGCCACGTTCGTTCGGTCCCATTATTTTACCAGTGTCCGGATCAACGACCTTGGCATAGATGCCAGCCTTGAGTACGCCAACGCTACCAGGCTTGCAATAGTCATCGGTCTGTACCAGGACACTCAGCGTCGACTCGCTCAGTCCGTACCCCTGACGAATGAATGGCACACCAATTCGCTCCTTGATCTGATCTTCGGTTTCACGGCTGAGCGGGGCAGCGCCACAAAGTAAAACCATTAGCGAGGACAGATCGTACTTATCTACAATCGGATGCTTGGCTAAGAAGACCATCAGTGGTGGCACCATAAACGCCATCATGACACGGTATTTCTGCAAGGATTAAAGCTGGATTATAGACTGTTTTTTCTCAATATTGACAGTCGAATAGCTACCTCAATGGCGGAGAGGAACAGATTTTCTTCGAATTTGGGCAAATATACTAGTCGAGTGCCCATCGTAGCCGTTGTGATTAGCGTCAGGCAGCCAAAAGCATGGAACCACGGAATGACAGTGAGTAGAGTGATCTCGTTGAATGGTATCATAGTTGGCTGACTGTAAACAAAGCCGATAAGATCAATTTTATTATTATTATTATTTTTGTTTAATAAAGATAGGTTTTAAAATCAATATACTTACATTTGAGAGTCGATCGTGGCCAATAGATTAAACTGTGTCAACTGAACGCCTTTGGGCAGACCAGTGGTGCCCGAGGAGCATACAATTAATGCCACATCCTCGGTTTTGTTTGCCGCAGGTGAAGTGAATTCTGGTTTCGTCTTATACTTGTCACTGTTCATCAAATCCGTGAAGGAATATACCTTTGGATGATTTGTGGAAGAGCCGCTCAGTGCAATAATTGCTTTAACAAATTTATTCTGTTTGGCCACCTTTGCGATGCGGTCAACGGTGATCTTTGAGGCGAATATGATCTTTGGATGCGACAAATTTATGGCATGGTCAACCTCACGTTCTGAGTAGGTGACATTTAATGGCGCAACAGTCGCACCCACAGCAAACCCAGCAAACATGGCTATAGCAAAATTCACGCTATTCTCACTGGACAACCCAACGACATCGTTGTGCTTTATGCCGAGTTTCTGGAGGATTTGTGCCAATCTTACAATCGAATCATACAAAAACTTTCCGGTATATTCAGTGCCGCTGACAGCATCAATCATAACCGTTTGATTGCCAAAACTTTTATATCTATCCATTATTAGCTGCCCCAAGGAGCGATACTCCTGGGCCTCCCGGACGGGTATTGGGCCTCCATAAACGATATTGCCGGGCAACAATGTTGAAGTCATTATGAACTGCAAAAAAAAAAAAAAAAAGAAAAACATGCAATTATTATTTATTTAGGCAAGGGTGGTTTACTTATTACAGCAACCCCTTGAATAAATTTTCTTAAATTTTGTATTTTTTTCCTTATGATAATACACTTTGAACTTGCTTAATCTTATCGAAGATTGAAAGTTACTAAAAAAAATTTGCTTAAGTTTATAGATTTGTAAACTTTGCTATCTTCGGAAAGCACTGTGCATGAATTTCAGATTAAAAGCAGCTCCAAAGGTCAATGTTTGCCCCCTGAAAAGTGTTTTGATTGGCATCCGATTTTTAGCTGTTTTGCTTTCTCTAATGATACTTTCCATCATTGGTGTATGAAATATAAACATATAAAAATAAATTGTATTTCTTACTTAAAAGATTTTTCTAGTTATAACTTGAAGAGAGAATTGGCACGCTCCGTCCCAGTGCGGCTTCTATAACCAACTGTTCTTGAGGCAAAAAGCACAATCCTAATAATTCAGCTTTTACGCCGAGATTAGCTTTTGATAAGTGTAGGGTAATACGCCTAGGCACTTTTCGTATCGTGGTTCCTGTTTTTAATTTAATTATTTATAGACATACATAGAGTGTATTTGAACCATGGATAAACCCATAAAAGAAATATTATAGTTGAGCGAAAGAGCGAGCTGAGAGCCGTTTCATGTAATTTTTAGGCATGCTTACACTGAGATCAGCTGTTTTCATTTTATGTGCCTTGGCAACGCTAGAACAAACTTATCGATGTATCGATTGACTTAATTTCTATTGTTTTGTATAATTAAAAACGAACGAGACAACAACGACTATGCTGGCCGCTATTTTGTTTTTAGCTACCGGCTTCTGACCTTTATATGAAGTACATACAGTTTTGAAAACATCCATCCTTATTGGTATAACTTTGATAACATGGTAAATAAACTTCTATTAAGTTGATTTACATATATGCACATCAGATAACAGACAGATGTAGCGCATTACAGATTCGGCCCAGACTTTGAATTTGTGGGGATGAGTGTATCGCCGCCCATGAATTGCTCACAATATGCATTCAGTGTTTGGAACCCCGCTGTTCGAGGTGATTTTTCTCTACTGCTGACTAAAAAGTCGAGATAAGCCTAATCAGTTTTATATTTCACTATAGACATTGTTAAAATGAGTGCCCGCAAAACGCAAAAGTTTTACAAGTTGGATATAAATCGTACAGAATGGGAAGTTCCAGAAATATATCAGCAGCTGCATCCAGTGGGCTCTGGTGCATATGGACAAGTATGCAAGGCTAGAATTCGTGGTACCAACACAGATGTCGCCATTAAGAAGTTATCTCGTCCCTTCCAATCAACGGTGCACGCCAAGCGGACATATCGGGAACTAATGCTATTGAAGCATATGGATCATGAAAATGTTATCGGCCTATTGGACATTTTTCATCCGCATCCACCTGAAGCAACTTTAGAAGAATTTCAGAACGTTTACCTGGTAACTCACCTGATGGGTGCGGACCTGAACAACATTATAAAAATGCAGAACCTATCCGATGATCATGTGCAGTTCCTGGTATATCAAATACTACGTGGCCTGAAGTATATACACAGCGCTGGCGTTATTCATCGGGATCTGAAGCCGTGCAATATTGCTGTAAACGAGGACTGCGAGCTTCGTATTCTTGATTTTGGGCTGGCGAGACCAACTGAGTTCGAAATGACGGGTTATGTGGCCACTCGCTGGTATCGCGCTCCTGAAATTATGCTCAACTGGATGCATTACAGTCAAACTGTCGACATTTGGTCAGTGGGATGTATCATGGCTGAGCTCATCACGCGACGCACACTTTTCCCAGGCACAGACCACATACATCAGCTCAATTTGATCATGGAAATGTTGGGCACACCGCCTGACGATTTTATGCGGAAGATCTCATCTGACAACGCCCGAAACTATATTAATTCACTGCCGCCAACGAAACGAAAGGACTTTAAGGTTGTTTTTAAGAATGCCAATCCTTTGGCTATTGATTTGCTCGAGAAGATGTTGGAACTGGATGCGGATAAACGCATAACAGCCGAGCAGGCGCTCGCTCATCCATACTTACAGAAGTATGCAGACCCAGGTGATGAACAAACTGCGCCTTTGTACGATCAAAGCTTTGAAGAAAAAGACTTTTCATTAGAAAAATGGAAGGAGCTTATTTACAAAGAAGTCATGAATTTTAAACCTCCAGCTTCATTTGCCGCAAATCTGGAAAGTAATGACTGATATCTGTTAATGCAACACTAACTGCAAAGTATTAGCCACAGACATGGGCTGCATTAATGTGCCTTAAATCCAGCAAAGAATTTGCTCATGAAGTACCTTATGTCATTTACTAATGTGTGATTCATTTAAATATTTGTTAACATTTATATTTTACCCACTGTTATTACTTACAAAACGTGTTTATTAAATGTTGTGTTTTATATTCTAAAGACACTTATATATTATTCCTTATTTTTCATGTATTTCAGTTTTCTTGGTATGCATTAAGACGCACGTAAAAACGTTAACATATTACATATTTGTTTTCCGCAAATTTAAATATACCTTCAAAAATGACTGCTAGGTGGCGCGACCATTGCTAATGTATAACAGTTACTCCTAAACTGTAAGAAAACATATAACATATTTCAGTTTGCCGTTTAACAGCCAGCATACACTTAACAGAATATCAACTTATTTACATAGAGAAACAGCTGCGCCGAACTGTCAAAGTAAAACCACAGCTGATAAAGGTTTAATTCTTCTTTTTAATAACAAAACATAACTTTCATATGTTAAAACTACGTAACATAGTAGGACAATGCTTCGTTCTGAAGCGACACATCTCAGCTCTCTACATAACTGGTGATAAGGCAAACGAAAACTATGTAACCTTGCAACCATTTCTGGATTTTACCGGCACATTTCGCGACAAAGTGACTTTACAGCAGAGCATTGATAGCCGTGGCTTGAACATCAATCTGGAATCTGTGCTCGCCAAATATGCGACATACCAGTCGCATCATGAGCAACTGCAACGGCTGGAGGATGAACGTGAAAAAATTACCAAGGAGCTAAAATTGCTTACGAAATCGGGCGGAACATCGGAGTTGCTGGACAAGCTACGAGCGCGTGGCAAAGAGTTGCGCAACGAAGTGAAATCGTTAAAGCAAACACTATATCCGATCGAAGATGATTTTATCCATGACTACCTGCATCTGCCCAATGTCTTGCATGCTCATTGTCCACAAACAGATGAGGAAAAGCTCATTTATAGGCATAAACCACCCCCAACCACTACACCGGTGGCTATGCACTTGGACCGCAAGGATCTTATACATTTCTTGGACAATAATCGCTACTACATGATGGAGCAAGCGGCTCATTTCGATGTAGACGCTATGCAGGCGATGGTACGCTACTTTGTAACGCACGGCGATTTCATACAGACCTGCAATCCCGACTTTGTGCGCTGTGTACTGCTGGAGGCCAATGCAACACCCCTGAGCCAATACCATCTTGTGCGTGAGGAACATTTGTTGAACAAACTAAATACGGCCTATCTAACAGGCGGTGGCGCATTCGAAAGTTTTCTCGGCACCGTGACCAAGCTGAGCGTGTATCCCTCAGTACTGCCGCTGCGGTATGTCGCCTGCGGGCGCAGCTATAACCGCGAGGAAGGTCTGGTCAATGGACCCACACCAAGCCTATACACAGCCACACAAACGAACGCGGTGCAGAGTTTTGTGGCAACCCAAACAGCTGATGAAGCTGATGCAGAACTGGAACAGGTGCTCAACATGGCGATCAATTTTTACAAAGCACTCGATGTGCCCTTTCGCATTGTGTACGTTCCAGCAGGCAGCCTAACGCCTTCCGAGAGTTTGAGAGCCAGCATAGAGGTTTATGCACCATCTCTCAAGCGCTACGTTTGCGTCGGACGGATCAGCAACTATGGAGACTATGTGTCCAAGCGGATTCTCTTCAGCACGCGTCGGGAGAAGCACTATGAGTTCTTACATCTGGTGGGTGGCCCTGTGTTGTACACCACAAGGCTTATAGCGGCACTCATTGAGCTGGGCATCAAGCTGGAAGCTAATAAATTGCCCGGCGCTTTGCATCTCGGGCCCAGCATGCAAGCGATGGACCAACATCAGCGAGACTTACAAGAATTCAAAGATCTTTTTAAATAAATATGATTCCTCCACGTGAAACATTCAATGTTATTTTGCACACTTAGCGTTAACAATAAGTAAAAAAGTTAAGTCGGTACATACAATTATTTACAAGCTAGTTTAATCTCATTGTTCTGTAAGATGTCACAAACCCAACCAGATCTACGATCGTCTAGCTGTCTAGGTTGTTTTGACTCCGCATCACTTAGTCGCCGCATTTGATTTGCATTTTGGGAAAGCGATTTCGAAAGCTTTCGCACTTGGGCGTTGTAAATGTAAATGGATGTCCATTGTCCTCCAGTACGGAATTTGGACTTGGCCGCAACGCTTTCAGCACGTACGTTGTATTGAATTTCAATTTGCTAAACTCCTGTGAATCCTTCTGCAATGAAGCAAATATTTGGGGATTTTTAGTTATATGTAAAAGGCATGGATGGGACCTCTATGGCATTACCATAGCTCATTTATGTGTGGTAAATCGAATAATATTTATATACACATGTACATATATATTTACATATATATTTCTAAATATCAAATTTTCTTTCTAATTCAGAATTTTTTATTTGCAAATATCAAGTTTTCTTTCTAGAAACATGCTGTTCGTAAAATCTACATATTTCGTAACATTTTCGATTCGCTAATTTCTTGGTGTAGCGCTTTCTAATGCCTATTCCCTAGGAAAGTACGTCACTGACACATGCTAATGGGTTTGCTGCAGCGATCGAGCCACGTACATGGCGCCCTGTTCGAAAACGTGTCTCACGTGTCAAACGGCAATGCAACTAAAACCTCAACGGCAACCGAAATCCAATTGACCAAAAATGACAAGTGATTTGTGTGTGTTTGTTTCGCAATGATTGGACCGGCACGAACCTAGCTCGTGGCAAAGACTCCACCTCCTACACCACCATGCCCTGCATTGTACTTACTTTGACGCGGATCGCGCTGAACTCTCGCTGTTCGCAGTTCGTTTCTTGGGGGCACAGCTCGTATACCCTGAAATCAAATATATATACATATTTTAGCGAATTGTTTATAAACAATCAAAATAACATGAATAACATGTGTACAATGCGGCGCGAATGAGAGCTGGAGCCAAAGGGGGTCTCTGACACTTACTTCTCCTTGTATGGCTGAAATCCCAAAATTTGCACAATCATGCCAAATTTCCGGTTCAAACGGAAACGTACTTCATAGGAGGTGCGGCCCTCATTATTGTTTATCGCTGGCATAGAGCTGGTCTCCACTGTGGGACTATGACTGAGGCTGTGGCTGTGGCTGGGGCTGGCGCTGGGATGGTACTTGTGCCTGCTGTGGTGTGTGCTGCAGTCAAGTGGTGCGGCATACTCCAGTTCATGCATCGGCAACGTTGTATTGTGCAGCAGTGACTTTTTCTCCGATTTCAGACGCTGCGATCCGCTTATGGACATCGCCTGCACTTGTATGTAGTAGGAGGAGTTGGGCTGCAGTTTCTTAATCTCGAACTGATGCGTCTGCAAGTCAATTCGATTGCGAGTGTATAAATCAGATAGATGAATTGGAAACTCTAATCGACTTACGTCCTTGACATAGGCTTCGTGTGTTATGAGTGAGCCCTCCTTGCTGCTTACATATAGGGACCAGATAATTTTATACTTCTCCACGGGCAGATTCGATCTGGACGGACACCAAACGAGCTTGACACTCATATAGCGTCGTCCGTCGTACTGCTGGGAAGTGATCTTCATAGCGGCGGGCGCCTTGGGCGGCTTGGGGTCTGAAATGTGCATAACTTAGGCCAATTACATAACGAATAGAAACTCGAACTTACTGCTGGGCAGGGTGAAGGCATGTGAGGGCTGGGAGTAGCCGCGGAATCCGAATGCATTCACCGCTGCCACACGCACCTGATACCAGCGACCCGGTCGTATATTGAAGAAGATTTCCATGCTATGGAGAAGGGCATTGCGTTTATGTGGCTTCGATATGACCATGGAGTGAGTACCTACAATTTGCTGCGACCGTCCGTTGTCTCCAGTATCTTTTCGACCTGCTGCGACTGCCACATGCCCATCTTGCGTGGCGTAAAGACGCGTCCGATGTGCGATCGGACCTCCACATGGAAGTAATAGGGCAGCAGCGACGACTCAATGGTCAGCTCCACCTTGTGGCTGCGTGGCAGCTTGTAGCGCAAGATCTTCGGTATGGGCGGCAGCTGGCTGGAGTTGCGCACGCCCACTGGCTCTGTGCAGATGGGGCCGCAAGCGGATGCACAGCACTTGTGCACCTCGATGCAGTCGTTGTCGTAGGCACAATTATCCAAGCATAGCAGTCGCGCATGCCGCGCGAGCAGCGAGCTGCTGGGGCAGCTGCCAGCTCTGGGTGCACGCCACAGCTCCAATTTACACTGATCAAGACATCGCTGCGTTTTAGTGCTATTCTCGCAGCGGGCCAGGCACTGCAGCTCCATGATCTTCTCCTTGATGTCGGTGCTGTCGCGATGTTGCCGTTGATACATGGATATGGTTGCATTCGAGGCACGGCTGCCCAGCAGTGCCAGCGCCAGCGTCAACATGATCAGCATCTTGATCTTTAGGGTGGCTCGAGCACTTGATGCCAATCTGCGATAAATGTTTGCCACATATACACTATCTCTTTTTCTGTCGATCTCTCTCTCTATCTCTCTCTCTCTCGCTCTATCTCTCTCTCTTTCGCTCTGTTCATATTTCTTGGTTAAACTTAACGCATTCCGTGCATTCATAATTAACAGCATTTATGTATGTTGATTATGCTGAAGGATCGGACGAACCGGTTTATTCCATTTTGCCTGACCAACTAACTAATCATTCTTTGCATTTGCGCCCCGCTAGCCATCGTCCCAACTCCATCCAAGGTGGAAGCAATGAAAATGCAAAAATACATAAATGTATCTCAAGCTCTTGACAGGACTTCAAAGCGCGCATCACGGTGCGTGCCATGAACGCAACGGACAGACAGACAAACTGCGAGATTTTTTTTTGCTTTTTTTTCAAAATTCCCCACTACTGACTGCAATGATACCCTAGAGAAATTAAATCAATTCTTAATATAAATCATATGCATTTTTATCTTAGCCGAATAATACAAGATCATAGAAGAGGTTTAGTGAATAAAAAATGATACTTTCGATATATTAAATACATAATTAGAAATTACGTTA